ACAGGTGGTGGTAGCTGGGAGTGTCGCTGTAGCAGCGCAGAACCTCCATCTGCCCACAGTGAGTTAACTGACTGTGACAACATGGTGACCAATAGTAGTATCTATACAGGAGGCAGAGAGAGAGAGCTAGGCCAGTTCTGCTTTTGGAAAAGCAAATAGAAGCGACCAGAATATAACAAAATGTCTGCCAGAAGAAATTCACAGCTACATTGTACTACTGGACAATTCCTGCCACAAAAAGAGAACAACGCTCAGTCGCTGCCACTTCCTCTGTAAGATGAGTCACTGGGGAAGGGGGAAAGGCGCTGGCTCACTTCCTCTGTAAGATGAGTCACTGGGGAAGGGTGAAAGGCGCTGGCTGTTATACAAGTGACCCTGTTAATGGACTTATTCATATGTGGCCAGTTTCAGCTGTACTGCTCCTTTAAGTGGTGACTACACAGTTGCAGCAGATGAGAGTGATGCTGGGAGGCATGTGTTTACAATACCGGGGCATCTAACATGTTAATTCAGCCATGACATATACCTAGTACAACTTGAGGATGATTTGCATTTGTAATCTTCATTTCATTTTTTCACTATATTGTCCATGATCTGTAAAAGTCTTGTTGAGTTAAACGTGACCAGTGTCATTTGAAAGAGAAACATTTCTGTGTCCCTGTGTTTTTTTTTTCTCTTTCTGTCTCAGCTAAAAGCCTGTCTGGGGATGCAAATTATTGCATGTGTTGCATCCATGATCAACATGATCTGTGCTCTGATGAACATGGCTCTGATACCCTCCATTCACTGCTACTATGACTATGGCAGCTATAACAGCAGCAGTTATGATGATGGTCACATGTGCGAAACAGTTGAGGTGAGTAAGCATATCCTCTTTATAAGAGCAATATTTTCATTGTAGGTAGTATTGGATTATAATGTATCACAAGCAATTTGACAGATTTAAAAATCTGGCACATAAAAACTATGATTTGCTGTTAGCAGTTTTGTAATGTTTTGTCCATTGTATTGTAAGTGAATAATACTATTCTAACAGTTGTATGTGTTTCTTATCTCATAGATTTCGAATTTTAAATGCTTTACTAATAGAAATGATGATCAAGGCTGCAAAAACAAGATTGTAATAGCAATAAACAGAATGTTCACATTTAAATGATATGAAAAGAGTTGACATGTGAGTTGGAGTGTGAGTGTACAACATGAAAACAGTTGAAGGGTGAGGTAAAGAGTGGGAGATGAAATCAGATGGCGTTTGAGTTGTAGAGTAAGATATGAAGGCAGTGGAGGTGTGACTTGGAGAGTTAGAGATGAAAGGAAATGAAGTGTTAGTTGGATATTATGACAAGAAAGCAGCTGAAATCCTAATGAATATGTAACTGACATGCAAAAGCAGATACAATGTCAGTTAAAGTGATAAAAGCGCTTTAAAATTCTGCTGCTGCTTTGAGGAACCTTACAGTGCTACACTTCACTTCTCTTCACACTTTTCATTTATTTATTTTTTTCTTCTTTTTTCAGTTCAAACATAACTTCAAGTTTTGTCCCACTTATAGAAAATACATTCCCACTTTTATGCTGGGGCTCTACTTATCCACGCTGTCCTGTTGGCTATCTCAGTCACTCTGGCTGTCTTCTGCTGCAAGGTCCTCAACTGCTGTGTGCCATCTCCCAAAGTGGTGAGTTGATGGTGAACATTGATCTGGCTCCATCATAAAGGTTCTCTAATAACTAATGACTAATAACCATGACAATATACAAGAAATAGATGGAGGGACTGTTAAATATTCAAAGCAGGGCCAGCCCAACAGTATGTGGCACAGAAAATATTCACAAATTAAAGGTTAGACAGTCATTTAACAATTTTATGGTAATAATCTAATAATCAACCATTCCGTGTCATAAATTTGTCCCTTCCTTGTGTTCTGTCCCTGTCAGCCGGTGATAACTATACAAGCCTCCATGTCCAGCACTGAGGAGACTGTCAGGACAAGTGCAGGAAAGTGATATACAGTCATGGAGAAATACTACAATGTTAAAGCTGCACTAATCACTGTTTTAATATTAACAGCAGATCAAATGACTATGTGTAATGTGAAGTGTGTTGCTTGTAGTGATGAACCCATAGAGATTTATAAACTGTCTTAGCTTATCATTTTGGTTTTCAAGCCTGCAAGCTTTGCTCTCGTCCAACCAATTTCAAGTCACAGCTGTTTTCAAATGAACAGCTGCGATGAACACACTGTACAAGTTAAGCAATGAGCTAATATGATGAAGCATTTAGCAGCTAAATCATAGTTTCCTCAGGAGTTGGTGGAGATAAAAACAAGACTCCTAATCAGTGTTAATATTGCTCACAGTATCCTGAATGTGTAAATAAGTTCATGTTTGTTTAAGCATTTTTCATAGCAACTTTTAGGGAGACAATATGTCAGTGCTGTCTCTGCGGCTTGTTCTGCTGCCCCCAAGTGGTAAAAAAAATCAATAGATGCAACTTTAAGAAAGGAAAAATAACAGTATTTTTTAAAATTACAATTACAATGTCCACAGTTTTTTCATACAACTATACATTTTGATTAGATATATTGTACTCATTCTCTAATGTCAAACTTTATTATAGTCTGTTCTTATCAATCAAAATGTACAATTGTTACAAGGGAGAAATATTTACAGACACTGAAGCCTCTGTACACTGTTAGCTGAGGTGTGGCCACAGGAGGCTATTAATATTAACTGTGAAAATGCAGTGTGAGAGAGCACAAGTAGAGGAAAGTCATTAGGTCAGTGAACGGGTCAGTCACGTCAGTTATACATAAACATCTTTTACTAACAAAAGCTAATAAGCCATAAGCAGTTGGACATTCCTGACTGACTGTGACTGTAGCAGCAAAACCTCTGGGTCGACTGAAGAGATTAAAGGTGCGTTTTCATATTTCTTCTTTTAAAAGGGGTACAGTCTTGCTTTAACATGTACTCAGTAACATTACAGTAGGTAAACAATGCAACTCTACAGAGACAACAAATTTAGTTGTAACACAACCTTAATAAACTCATGTGCATATTAATATTTTTCTAAAAAACCTTGTTCCTAATGATGATCACTATCAAATTAATGCATAACCTTTGTTTACTTTCTAACTACAACAACTATAAATAATAAAGTTAAATGTAAAGGAGTTTTGCTTTTTTTTTGTTTTGTTTGTGACAAATACAGTGGGTTTACAAATGTAAAGGAGGTTTGCTTTTTTTGTTTGTTTGTGACAAATACAGTGGGTTTAAAGAGCGTGGTTCCAGCATGTCAGACTGTATGACAAGACTGTCACACACACACACACACACTTTATACACTGCTGTGAAAATTAATAGACTAATATTGACATGGCCTCAGCCACGGCATTGTTGGCTGGTCGCAGACAGACATGGCAGACTCAGGTTACTTATAGAGCTTAGAGTGCAATGATTTGATTGGCAGATGAAAGCTGGTAAAAAGTCAATCAAAAGAACCAATCAAAAGCAATGTTTAGAATTTTATGCAAGCTGCCAAATCAATGGAGCCTATCAAGACATGAAGAAGCTCCATGTTAGCCGTCCTACCCATGAAGGGTGGTATTTGTTCCAACAGCTTTACTGACCCAAGTTGTCTAGAAATATGCCCAAAAGAAGGTGTTTTGTACATGTCTGTGCTACCTTTTGTTGCAATCTTTAGTCTGATCAACAGTCATCACATTTAAAAATGACAGAGGTTTATGTTTCTACAAATTGGACTTTGGTGTTTTTAACTAATAAATAACAAAAAAGGATATTTTAAGAAAATATCTGAATCTACTTCAGCAGTATTCCCAACCAGAGCACAAATAAATATGGGATTTGCAGTGAATGCGACTTTGTTTTGACTGAGTACTGTTTAGTGTGTATCTATGAGAGTGGTGGAAGCAGTACTCAGATCCTTAAGTAGAAGTAGCAACACTAAAATACTCTGTTACAAGTAAAAGTCCTGCATTCAAAATGTTACTTAAATACAAAAGTATTAGCATCAAAATATTGATGTTTTCACATATATTTAATACATTAAACACATATAATTAAGCAGACAAGGTTAAGTAGAGCAGTAGAGATGTGCGACCTGTACAGATCTCTGCTGGACAGCTTTGTTGAAGTTACTGTTCATTTGTGCTCAGTTTGAAAATGCACGTTTCATTACACATAATCCACATAATCCTGACAGTATCATGCAGCACCACAGTTCATTAAGAAAGAGTCACTTTTGCAGACTCCTTCCTTTCAGATCTGCAGTTCATCTGCCCAGTGATTCTGCAGAGGATTAGAGGACAAGTTAATAAGTGCATTCAGTAATAATACATGCGAACTGCTTTGCTGTCAGTTGATGTGAGAATGTGTAAATATATATCTGATGCTTCCTGCCAATAATCAAAAATATAGAGGAGTAAAATGATACATCTGTCTATCCTCTATATGCACACATGCACAGGCAAAACTATCCAGTAACCTACTTGGGATGCAGATGCTGTTATCTCGTCCAGGTCGCCAAAGCAGCCATGTTTATGACGAATGAGGGTCCCCCACAGCACTGACCGATGACAGGATGGACATTCTCCTTCCACAGGCAGGAGGTGGGATGGCTCCGACTTCAGAAAATGTTTAGCGAGGCAGATCACATGACTGCTCATTGCACAGTATGGGTGGAAACAGCTCAGCTTATCTGATACCTGAAGAAAAGAACGGACCAAGATTTGCCAACCACGCAACCAGCCAGCCAGGATTTGACTGTGATGAAATGAAGGTTATTTGGAATTTCACAAATTAAAATCGAGAGCTGTCTCTCAAGAAAGACAGTCAGTGTTACACTCAGATGTTCCTGTTAGAAGAACCGCTCGTTTTGCGCAACAAAATGAGAAAAGAGCTGCAGAGAGAAGTTCAATCCATAGCTTCTTTTTCACCTCCATACAGGTGAATACTCACACAATGAAGTGGGTGTAAATGTCAAATCTTTAGTTTTGAACACTTACAGAAGTGATCGAACAAAGACGTCCCATATCCAACCTTAGAAAAGGGCCTTCCCTGGTAGGCTAGTGGTAGAAAAGTGTTGGGGGGGAATTGGTTTTCCAACTTTATCTGACCATCTGACAAGCAGTTCAGAAGTTATGTAGCATTGTATTTTGTTGTTATAAGATCTGTGTACATTTCATTTTCTCCAAGGGATGATTGGGCCTACCCCCTAGTGTGAACCGCAGGCAAAAATAAAAACAAACAAAAAATTCATCCACTAACAATAAAATTAAGTTACATGCTGGAGATTTTTCTTGGTAAACAGTAGGATGCAGACACTGTGCTGTTTCCCAGATGTGTCTGAGATTGTCAGGTTTGGTACCACTGTGACTGAGGTTGATAATAGAATGTAAATAAATTATGAATTTCCCTGTTTCTACATGATCTCAAACCTATTTTAGCATTTTCATACTCGCTTTCATATTACTTACAAACATACAGTGGCAAGAAAAAGTATGTGAACCTTTTTGGAATTTCATGGTTTTCTGCATTAATTTGTCATAAAATGTGATCTGATCTTCACCAAAGTCAAGAGTACAGACTAATATAATGTGCCTAATATAACAAAAAAACTGATCTTTCATGTCTTTATTGAAGACACTCATTCAACATTCAAAATAGTAGTGGAAAAAGTAAGTGAACCCCTGGAATTAATAACTGGTTGACCCCCCCCCCTTGGCAGCAATAACCTCAGCCAGGCGCTTCCTGTAGCTGTGGATCAGACCTGCACATCGTGCAGAAACAATTTTAGCCCATTCTTCCTGGCACAACTGCTTTAGCTCCATCATATTCTCTGGATGTCTCCCGTGTATGCTTCTCTTCAAGTCATTCCATAGCATCTCTATTGGGTTGTGGTCTGGGTTCTGACTTGGCCACTCCAAAAGGCGAATTTTGTTTTTCTGAAGCCATTCTGTTGTGGACTTGCTCCGGTGTTTTGGGTCATTGTCCGATTGCATCACCCAACTTCTACAGAGTTTCAGCTGATGTACAGACATTCTCACATTATCCTGAAGAATTTTTTGATACGCTTGGAAATTGATCTTCCCCTCAGTGATTGCAAGCTGGCCAGGCCCTGATGCAGCAAAGTAGGCCCAAATCATGATGTCTCCTCCATCACCTGCAGGGGGCCTCCTCCCCTCCTGAAGAGTGCAGCGGCAGCATCTTCTTGGCTCTCACACTGCCAAAAGCAATGGGGATGTGTAGGGGGGGCTGCAGACTGGGATCAAAGTCTATCCTGTAATCCTGTTTGAGCCAGCGGGCTGTCAGTGGCAGTCTGTTCCAGGGTCCCACCCGCAGCATGTTGGAGACAATGCGCCAGTGGAACTGCAGACTGGACTCTTTCTTGGAGCGCCGTGAAATGTGGGACAGTCTCCTGGAGAGGTGAGGGTGCTGCCATGCCCACTCAAACTGACACAGAAATACCATGGTGGTAGTTAGAATTTACTTTTATATATGGATCACATGCCTTAGAACTCAAAAAAGGGAAGGCCCCACAGTTTCTCACATTTATCCCCTCAACCACCACTAACTCAATAGTTATCCGGGTCTTTGCTGTTGGGAATCTGTTGAACACAGGTTCAGTTCCTGAAAGTTCCTAGACTGTAAAAATTATGGCTGTGGAAACAGGCTTGAAGATGGAGCGCTCCTTGATATTCTAAATGCTGTTTCAGGGGCTTCAGATAAATACTGATGATTCTTCATATTTGAATGGTCATAGTGACTGATAAATATAATTAACACTCACTTAAAAACATATACTTACCCTCAGTGCAGCAATATCAGAGGGAAACCCATGTATAATGAGGACCATCTCCCTGGACAAAACACAGAAACACAATGTTATTCGGGGAGTAGTTATGTGGCTTTCACACTGTTCATCAAGCAGTATAGTCCAGCAGGCAGACAACAGTCACCATGGTCCTCTTCCGCTGGTCCTCTTGGCTCCCCCTTTGTCCCGTCCAGCGTTGTGCTGTCGGATGCGGCGCTCAGGGTTCACAGTGAATCCAATGTAGATACGCCCTTTGAATTTAGGATTGATGCAGTACAGCATGTACACGCCAAAGAAGCTTTCTACCTCGACTACCATTGTAGAAGAGGCTATCAGAGTTTATATTGACCTCCTTGTTAAACGACCGCCAGCATCCATGACTACTTGCGAGACGGCTAAGATAATGTAACGTTACCATGACTTAACTAATACAGCGTCACCAAAAAGACGACAGATAAAACCATTGTAAAATATAAACCAATTCGCATGACAATACTGTGTATAGTATTTACTCGAACTCATAAGCATTGGCATCCAATATTTTCACAGAGAGCTATAGCTGACTTTAAAAAAGAACGTACGCGCATGTAAATAGTTTGTCGTAGTAGACCAAAATGCTGCCTGATTAAATATGTTTCACAAATCCTTAATTTATGAAGCTGCAAGGATAATAAAATTATATATAACAACAAATTTATACTGTTACATTTTAAATTGGGTGAAAATTAAACATATTTTGAAAGTACATTAATTACTGTAAAAAATTTAGTTCGTTTTTCTGTAAGGACACCTAAAGCTATGATTCGTTATTTTTAAAAATAAGGCCCGCACATTAATATATACTTACTACATCTGATTGGCCATGATAGTCATTGACGCAATACAATAGGACATTTTTACCGTCAGGTTATGCTGTCGGTGACACCAATCCCACTGTGAATGAAATTAGCGAGAAGGTGGTACATTACAATATAACACGAAGTTAACAGTCTTCCTGTAGTAGTGTTTTTAAGAGATACATAAGTTTTAAACTTGAATAACATTATAGCATTTCCGGTGCCTGCCTGTCTATCTCTCAACTATATAGTAAATTGACTAGATTGAAAAACTTAAAGATTAGCTAGCTGCTGGTGACATGGCTGTAACAGTTGATCACATCCGGGATAAACTCATTAAGGAACTCGGAGCAGTGCATGTGGTAGGTTTTATTATTATTATTATTATTAGTAGTAGTAGTAGTAGTACAAAATGTTGTTACAGCTTAAGGTTATGTCATCTGTGGTGACCAGAAAACCGTAACGTTACACCATGGCAGAAATAACCGTCGAACTGCACTCAGTACTGCGCTGTTAAGCTGCAAAAGTGCTACAAAAGTCATTTAGAGGTTTTATAAACATCTCAGAATTAGAGCCATTCGGCACACAGGTAATTGCCTCTACTGCCTCCCACGGGCATACTTAGGCTAACAGTGAAACATACAGTACCTTGCCTTGGTGGTATATTAATCCATCCCCGGTGTTCTACTTATGTCAGTTTGCTGCAGTAACAATTCAATTCCCCTGTGGGAATTAATAAAGTACTCCATTCATCTAGGCACCTAATTATTATTTGGTTTTTTCCAGGATGTGGAAGATACATCACCTAACAGATGTGCTGCCAGTTTCAAAGTCCTGGTGGTATCATCCCAGTTTGAGGGCAAACCACTGTTACAAAGACACAGGTATTTGTGCTCAAATCTTTGTGTCAGTTTATTTCAAAAGTCTGGCCAGGCTGAACCTAGTAACTTTTTCTAACTCATCCAATATACTAGGCTGTACCAGTGCCTTGTCAGACTTTACAAAATAGGACAATTATTAAGAAAAAAATGCTTAATAAAGTACAAACTTGTTTGAAAATTCAGTGGTTTCATTGTGAGAAGCACTCCTGATACCAACTCTGATGGGCCTGTATACCATGCTGCCTTAAGGTCATTTGATGTAAGGCAATACAGCAACAGGGATTGCTGTAAGACTGAAACCTGACATTCAGTCCACAGTTGCTTAATGACTGTAAGTGACAGCATAAAAACCAAACTGTATAGCTACCCTGAGGAAGAAACAGTTTTAATGTGGATCAATCAGGTCATGGCCGATGCCAAATTTACTTAATATGGTAGGTTCTGGTGCCACTACCAAACCAGTGGATGGCATCAGTGTATTTCTGCTCATTACTGTTACTGATTAAGGCAAATGCAAAAGAAGTTTTTAAAATTCATCCATAATGCAGTCTGTGAGAGAACACAGCACTTTCTTAATTCAGCTCTGGTCTCTAGCAGTACCTCTGTTCTCTTTCACGATATTACACTTTGCGATACTGCATCGATTCTCAAAATTACAGTATCGATTCTTAATTAATAGTTTATATGCCAAGTAGTGCTATGCTGTTGGATGTTACAGGGACTGTGACGAATGCAAATGCAGATTCCTTTATTTACAGGAGATTTTATGCATGTGGTGGTTTGTTGCTTATTTTATGACCATTTTAATAAGGTTATATTTTATAAATCACAATATATCACCTTGTTTACAGTATTATGATATATCGAATGGTAACCCCTGTATCATGATACGTTTCATTTTGCCAGTTTCTTGCCAATACACAGCTCTAGTTGTAAGGGACATTTATTTAGCACACACATGTGTCTGAATGACAAACTTCACTTTAACGGACAGATAAAGGCAGCAGTGATCTGTTTTATTTCTGAAAAGTTGCAAAAGTCATACATGAGCATTACCACATGAGGGCGATATTGTTTCAATATAAAACATGCCTACTGTTACAACTGTACATATATAAACTCCCAACCTGGTGTTATGTGTCATCAGGATGGTGAATACGTGCCTAGCTGAGGAGCTGAAAGAGATCCATGCTTTCGAACAGAAGACCCTCACCCCAGAACAATGGGAGAAGCAGAAGTCCCAGTGACGTGCGCATGTGCAAATTTACATACACACTATCACCCTCAGATAACTTTATAATTTCTGCTATAAAGCAGGACTTATATTTCTTGTATATGTATAAAGCAGGCAAGCTGTAAATCAGATACCGGAGACATTAAACCACTTTGATGGTATATATATATATATTTGTTTTGCTTTGTCTTTGTATATTTATGTTGTCTTTGTTGGATGTTTCCCGAACTGAAATTTAGTTTTGAACTGTACATGTCAAGACAGGGAAATTGAAGAACATCGCTTTTCTTCAGAATATCAGATTAATTCTTGGTCACCTAATAGAATTATGTTTTTCACACAGTTTGAATTCACTTTTTGCCAAGTGAATTTAAAGCATAATGAGAAACAACATAAATAAACCTAGAAGTGATATCCTTTCTTGCATGTGTTGTATTTGTCAGCAAATAAACTATAAACTAAAAAGTCTGTATAGTTTTCCAACCCAGTGAAAACAATACATTGGGTTAAGATAGGAGTGCCCAAACTTTTCCCTTCGGAGGACCAAAATGAAAATGCGTTACTGGACTGAGGGCCTCTTGTGCTGAAGGGTTGGGAAAACAGCTCCATGTCACCTGAATTCTTCCTGAAGTCCTGAAAGCGCATTTCAAACTCCAGGTCTAGGTTGCTGACAAGTGTTGCATATTCAGACAGTTTCTGTTGTACCAGGTTTACCTCTCTCAGACTGGGGAAGTGAGCCAGGTTTCCTGAAAAGAAGTAAAAAGTAATTAATAATTATCATGCAAATAAATATTACAATTTTCACTCACTAGTAATGTCATATTCCACATATCATACAACTGACAGTTCTGTTCCTCCGCATCACATGATAACATTACCATTAAAATTATGTATTTTGTGCAAGGCATTAACTCACCTGCTGACAGATGTCGACACAGTATCAACTCATTTTAATTTAAAACACAGTCTTAAAAATATGCTTTAAATATAGTCCTCTTACCTCTGCTCCCTCCTGATTCCAGCAGCAGAGCAGTAGGAGACATGTTCCTGCTGGGATCTTCTGTTTTGATCAGATGGTAGTCTTTATGTGGCGCAGTCAGCAGGTCCAGCATTTGGAGGTCTATCCTCTCAGTGGGATGATACTGGCCATGGCAGCTATGTTTGTCTGAATGCTCCTGAACTGGGCAGTCTTCTCAGAGAACAAAAAGTAAGAGATCACAAACTTATTCAGTATGATATGATAACAAGTAACAATCTTAGAGTTGTAATTATGATAAATACAATCGCCAAAGGTTCAAAGATACATTATTGCGTACCTTTATTAAACTGAAGTTGGCAGTAAGATGGTAATGTGCAGCTGGGTAACGATGAACTACAGTTGTATTCATTCTCTGCAGAATTAAATTCAAATAAATTATTATTCCATGATCAATGAAATACAAACAGGCCTCAGTGAAAAAAGAGGCATTTAGATTAATTAATGCATGCTGTATGTCCATATGCACATGATTACATAATGTATCTACAAAGAGGATATATAGAATGAAGCAAAAGCACCCTAATGTAATGAATGAATGGAGGAGATGCCCACTATATGTTAGAAGCAGGTGTCAAATATTAAAGCTGCATTAACTAAGATTTAGTGCAAATTCTGAGAAATCAAGTAAAAAATTGTCTGGGAGTGTTTTCTCCCTGCTGGTACAGTTTATGTTGAACATAACACTACAGTCCATGTAGCACTTTAATGAGAAGCTGTTAAAATTTACGCCATCGACACAACTAGAAGAGTGGGGAGTTTGTCCAACTGTCAAAGCGTAAGATGAAATTTCTCCTTTCACATACAACTCACGATTATGTGTCAAGTATGTAACACTGAACATGATGCGATAGTGACCGGAACATTAGTAATATATTGATATTACTGGGTAAAAAACATTCCTCTGTATAATTTGCTTGTGTTACTGCAGATACATCCGCTACAAACAATGTTAGGCATATGTATGCATATCACTAAAATGTAAACATCTTTGTTTGACATTGAAAACCATCAGCTCTATGGGCTCTATAGTCCATATACTGTACAGTTCTGAAGCTGATGAATATGACTTGGGACATGTATCCATAAAGCATGTCACCTAAAATCACTTCAAAAGTAGATGCTACATTAATTATCCATCTTTAGAAAATCTTGACAATTCAGATCCTTTCTGGTGATATTTTGTTCACGATACACATTTCTATTCACGTTTGTGTTTAATCAAAGTACCACATGCTAAATGACACTAAGCGAACCAGGGAAGTAGTAGTCCCTCATAGGAGTACTGCTGTCTCCATACAGTAACTACATTGGCTTCAAAGTGAGGGAGACCTTTGGAGTCAGCATGATTTGTCCTGGTAAAGAATATAAAATAAATACTTCTTACATATACAGTAAACAGTCATGATCATTTAATGTTTCCATCTTTAGTTGTTATTCCTTGTATGATATGAAACATTTCCGAAGCGGCAGTAGAAGCTCTGTAGCACGTTCTAGTGGTAATAATCACAAAGACGTTCTGGGGAAGTAAAGATTTCATTATTAACTCTCTGTAGTAGAGCAGTATGTGTATTTGTTCCCTCACTGCTTTCTTGGAAATAATCCGTCAGCCACTGATGATAGATAAACAATATGCGTTTCATGTTCCAGTACACGTCTCGGTTTATACATGTCTTGTAAACACTCTTTTCTTGGTCATAGTCTCATGTGGGCTTGCTTGACATCCACCAGTGCCATTATAAAAGCAGAATTTTTGACTGCACACAGTTTTGTGGATATATTTTACTTCCTGCTGCTGCACTAAGCCGAATTGCTTCTGCATAGATGTACAACAACAACATAGGTACACCTCATTTTCTGACAATAGTTCATCATTATAAGACTAGATAAGTCAGAAAATCATACCACAGGCACCTCAAGCTCAAACTAAACAAAGATGGAACTTCCACTCCAAGTCAGCAGGGTTATTTATTTACGCTATTATTTCTGTGCACGCAGTGACATGTCTGAAAGGTTGATTACAGCTTTGTTTATTGATTTAAAAAAAAAAAGGAATGCACCGACAGTGAAAATGTTAGGTTCATTATCGTGGACAGTTCCTAGTGAAGCACCACAGCAATCAGTTTGTTGTTACAGTACACTGATCAAGCCAATATCCAGTGTCATGAACTCTATGTTAACACACACAACTACACTCATCTTCCAAAGATAAACTCAGTCATTTAGGTTTGAGGCAGAGAATGAGACATACACAAACATGCTGAGATCAAAGATAAACTGATGGACTCCCCTGACTATTACTGATAAACACACAAATGGATACATTCAGCAAACACTAGAAAAACACCGACAGACCAGTTGGAGGCTTTTATTATGAGCATTTTTTTGCTGTGAACATGGAGACATTGCTTCTCTCTAACACCATCCAATCAGAATGGTGCACATTAACCACTGGGTCCCTTCTCTCTTCCATCCAAGACACTGGTTGGTTTAGAATCAAAACAGTGCTGAGGTTAAATGGCATTTTTGTTAGGTTTTGGTAGCCATTCGCCCTCGGAACTAGAGAGGAATGTAGTTAGTTCAGGTCCAAAGTACAAGTTTGGTTAAGATACAATCCCTGATTTTGTTATAGCACTCAGTTCTTTTTAACTTGAATTTCCAAACATCTTGGAAAACAGGGGGACTACTAAGTACTATGACAAAATAAGGAAGTGCATCATTAAGGTTTTCACTCCAGCTAAAGAATTTCATGATTCTAAGGTGAAATCTAGCTCCTTCTCAGCTGCTGACAGTCTCACATGGCAGTCTTCACCCAACAGTGAGAATATGCTTTGCCTACTTCAATACATGCAAGATTAACTGGAAGTAAGAGAAGTCATATAGGAATCAATCATGTAAAGAGATAATGCCACAGTATACAGTGAAAAAGCTAGAGGGTTTATCTGTCATGTTTGGACCACATGGTGAGCTATAGTGAGGTGGAAGAAGCAGATGTCGTCATTTAGTGAAGATGATCAGGAGCAGCGATCTTCCCCAGATTGGGTTCCATTCCCCAGATCTCCTTGGCATACTGGGAAATGGTGCGGTCACTGGAGAATTTACCACAGCCGGCAATGTTATGGATGACCTTCTTGGTCCACTCTTTGGGGTTCTGTCAATACAGGGAAGTCACATTGGAAAACAAGAATGGGCTTAAACAAAGTACTTCATGATCTCCAAGATCTGCCACGCTGTGTTAGACCGCTTTACAGATTGTGGTTTTAGCTCTCCTGATTTCCTCTTGCTAACATACTGACCTTATAGAGTGCACTGACTTTGTCTTGGCATTTGATGTAGTCTTCATAGTCTGCAAACACCTTGAACCTGCAGCACAAACATACAGTTAAAACAAACACATTCTAATACTGAGAACTAATTACTAACATGATCAAAGTCAGTTTTATACCAGCTCTACATTTACCAAGAGCCACCAGGCTGAATTTAGGTAATGATGATAATGACTTGCTTTACATCACGTAACTACAGAAGTCTAACTCTGATTTGGAGTAGGTTTGAGGACACTCATTTGACAGCAAACATGGGCGGAGCCAAGAGGGCGGCCAGTTGTTGCACTGGCCACCTCCAGAATTTGACTGGCTACCCCGGGTGCCAGTCCTCCCAGTGTTGAACTGTGTTGTTTGTCAGTATTAATGACTGAGAAATGAGAAATTGTTGCCTAAAAACTAACATTTTTCTGGTGCTTTATAATTGATATTGGTCAAAATAATTGTATTTTCAATCGGGGGAGCGGGGAGCGGGAGGGGGGAGGGACACCACTGTGCAGCAGCGATGTCCCCGGCTGGGAGTAAATAAGGAACACAGCCAATGTTAGCTAAACAAAGCACGGTGTGCCTCATTTTTACATTAAATAAACAATTTGATTCCTAATAATCTATGGTTTGGGGGTACGCCATAGCCAAATGGTTATGACACGTTGCACCATATATCCCTTCAGGGCTTACAATGTCAGCGGTTCAACTCCCAACCACTAACAGCTCTGTCAGAGGTCTCCTGTCTGCCGCTCTGCAACTGACTGATTAATAAAAAGCCTGAAAAATAACTTTAAAAAGGTATGGTTTGTCATTTCATAGAACTAGAACATGTATTTCAAATGTGCCACCCCTCTCCGAATGTGTGGTCCAGCCTGGACACCCCTTGCAAGATTTTACATCTGCCCCTGACAGTAAATTATAGAGATAAACACTGCATGTGTGTGTGGAAATAAAAACAAACAAAACAACTTTTTCCTCAGCATCAGCAGTGGTGTGCTCCAACCTGTCATGGTGCATCAGCAAGTTGACAAGGTCTTTGAAGAGGTCAGGCTGGCTGGGGCTGAAGAAGCCTCCTGATATCTGGTCCATGGCCTTCTTCAGCTCAGGTATACGGTTGTAGTAGGATATGGCATCATAGCTGTGGAGAGAAGATGCGTACTGTGTCACTACGTGCATAGTACCTTTGTCCTGAGAAAAGAATTCTTCTACAATAGAACTTTAAAATTTAAAGCTAATAGAAATGACAGTTTGAGTATACCTCCAGTCAGTATCATTAAAATGTCTGGAAACACTGAGGAGCATCATGCTGAGAAACGCCAGTTTTATTTGTATATAGCACCAAATCACAACAAAAATCATCTCAGGCCACTTTACATAGTCAGGTAACTACAAATCCTGTCAATTTAAAATAATTTTGTTTATAGTCAAAGAAAAAGAGAGTTCATTTAAAAACCAAACGATTTATAATTAAACTCTAATGAAAGATCCATATGTAGTCAACCAAGTACAGGCTTCATTAGTGAGATTCAGTTCTTTTATTTCTTTATTTTTATATGCCCTCCTCTATTTCTGATGACTGACAGGATCCTCCAGCTGTTCTTTGCTGGAGGGGTTTTTACTGCTTTTATTATTCTAAAGCTGTTCTACTGGACTGAAGTCAGGGGACACTCACGACCAGGTCATAGGTTTCATCTTGCATTAAGTGCAAATTGTTATATGTTACTACCACTTTTGTGTTAAACTGATATCACCCTTCTCAACACAATGTTCCTTTAACAACATGAATCACATCCTTGTTCAAGTGACCACTATTATAGCCTTACTTCTATGACAAACAGATAAAGGTGGCTACTGTTAGTATATTTAAGCTAGGTATTACTGCATCTCTCACATTACAGTTTACTGGCCTCATGACTCTGTGCTATACTGTGTTCCTCATTGTCAGCCCCATGTTCTAGCGTCTCACTCTTCCATTATTTCAGGATGTGTTTAATATCGGTCTGTTTGTATTGTTATGAGGCTCACCCCTTCTTGTCTAGAGCTTCCACATCATGCACCCTCATGCCAAAGATGAAGAGGTTCCCCTCTCCAGCCTCCTCTGCCATTTCCACATTGGCTCCGTCCATGGTGCCGATGGTGAGGGCACCGTTCAGCATGAACTTCATGTTCCCGGTGCCAGAGGCCTCAGTGCCTGCTGTGGAGATCTGTTCGGACAGGTCAGCAGCAGGGATGACTGCACAAAGGAGACGGGTAGAAAAATAATAATCATGATAGCATGCAGACAAACCTAAACCGTAAAAATATAAAGTCAACAACTGTATCCATTACCCTTCTCAGCCAGAGTGACACGATAGTTCTCTAGGAAGAGGACCTTGAGGCGATCTCCCACCACTGGGTCATTATTGACAATGTCTCCAATTGATGTGATCAGCTTGATGATCATCTTGGCTGTGTGGTAACCTGGAGCTGCCTGGAAACACAGAGGAGTATCATGCTGAGAAACACCAAACAAACTGAGACGCCCCAGCCCAGCCTATTTACAATGAATGTTTTCAGAATGTGGGAAAAGAAATGAACAGTAAACTCTGTGTGGAAAACAATCTTATGCAAACTGTCAAAGTGGGGATTAGGAAAAAAATGGGACCTTTTTTAAAGTCCATTTTGGGTATGTACATATGGTTAGCTGCTTTCTTTCTGAGCAGCATTTAGCTTAGCTTAGCATAAAGAGTGGAAATGAAATCGCTAACAGGGCTCTGTCTGAAGTTCAAAAATACACCGAACACCACCCCTAAATATCACTTCTTTCATATACAAACAAATTTGGAAAGATTACAGTCTGTTGTTCATCGGGACATAGACCCCCTGAAACCATACTTAATCCATCCTCCCAGAAATCAGTGCAGTGTCTCTGGCTACATTCCAGGCTACTGGATTCAGCTGATGAATACAGGTCTTTGTACAGGCAAAATGGTATTGAACATGACACCCTCACTGCGACAGTATTAAGACTGTGAGGCTGCACACAGTCACTGCACCAGAAAGAGTGATGGAACCATTTCCATGTTTGCCAGGAACTAGTTTTAACACACGACTCCCCCTTAACTTTGGCCAGGGTGCGGTTTCCCATTGCTTCCACACTTTATGATATGCTAGGCTAACCTCATGCTAACTTCATAAGATTTATCATCACACTCTCAGAGAAGTTTTCCAATATCATTAATGATTCCTTTAATTCTATAAGGAAGGACAGCAGTCAAGCATAGGTAATACTAAATATGCTGTAGCAAAGTGCCAGTGTTCCATTAGCATGTCACTCTAGAATACTTACAAACTCTGTAGCATGCTGCTCACCTTTCCTCCAATCATGATTGTCCTGGGTATCCATGACTTGTTGGGCTCCTTTTTGATGCCTTTAAAGAAAACAAAACCCGGTGTTAGCTTAGAATCCATGTGTTTGCTGAAAAGCTGTCAGTAAAAGGGGCACCCACGGTTGTACAGTGTGATGATGTGCAGGCAGTTGAGCAACTGTCTTTTGTACTCATGGATCCTCTTCACTTGGACATCAAACATGGAGTTGGGGTTGATCTTCACCTTGTATTGTTCTTCAAGATGGGCGGCAAACTTCAGCTTGTTCTCCTTAAAGTTGAGATCAAGCAAAGCAATGGGATTAAGATCGAACAGAAGAGACCTAATAAATCGTCGTCTTGCTTTGTGCATTTTAAGTTCCTACTTGTTTGATTTTGGCAACATCCCGAATGAAGGCGTCATCATTCACAAACTTCACAAGCTTCCTCAGTTGGTCCAAGTCCCGGATGTAATCCTCACCAATCCTCTGCAATTAAAACATATATCAGTGAAAATGTATGCAGTACAGCTGGAGTATTTTCCCCACTGTAAATTCCATTTCACAGTTGCCTTTTAAAAAATCTACCGAATGTTCGTAGTAGAAACACAAGAATCTATTCCACAACAAGGGTTCAGGTTTCCCACCAGTATTCATTATTTTACCTTTGGTTCCTAGGAAATGATGTTCGTTCTGAGAGTTTGGTAGGGAATATGACGGTAAGCTTTTCAGCTTTAACAGCAGGCTTCTGGAAATTGTAAACTTTAACTCATTGTTAATGGCATACGCACAAATATATTAAGGATGCATTAACTGATTCATTTTCCACTTAGGGGAAGAGGCTCCACTGAATCTTAAAGACCTCATAGTGCTTTATCCTCCCAACAGAGCACTTTGCTCTCAGAGTGCAAGTCTACTTGTGGTTCCTAGAGTCTACAGAGGTAGAATGGGAGGCTTATTTCCAGGACTCTGGATGCCCAAAATAACTTCTCTCATCGCACAACTCCATATTTCAGTCTGTATAAAGAAGAACAAACCCACCTCAGCGATGACCTCGGCCAGGCCAGGGTTGCACATAACCAGCCAACGCCTGGGTGTGATGCCGTTGGTCTTGTTCTGAAACTTCTGAGGGTCAACTTCATAGAAATCCTTGAACCTGGCGGAGGAAAAGGCCACAATCAGACACGCATTTGGGGGTTTATCTTTAAAGTATTAGCGGTGGACATTCTTATTTTAGCAATGCTAACATTCTACAACCTTCAGACAAATGAACAATAAGATTTGTATGATTTCTTTGTTCTTGGAAAGCTGTTACTTGCAAAACAAAGCATAGCAGCAGGTTTATGTTATGTAACTGAACTGGTTTTCCTACACAGTGTTTTTGATGATTTCTGAGTGGATGCGGGCCACTCCGTTGACAGCATGAGATCCAACGATGCACAAGTGAGCCATGTTGATTTTCTTGACATCCCCTTCCTCGATCAGGGACATTCGGCGCAGACGGTCACTGTCTCCAGGGTAAAGCTTAGCGATGCGCTGTGGGGGTGAGAGACAACTATCTGTAGTTTTATGCCACACCCATCCCAATTCCATTATGACTTTGCAAAAATTGTGATTAAAAATGTATTCAGTTCATTCATTCAGCTGCAATATATTCGGCAATGTCAAGTGAAGTAGGCACGTCAAAGACATTTGCTACAGAAGTAACACACTCCGAGGCTTAAGTTATCAGCGACTGGTAGCACTGTGGTAGTGTGGTACAGACTCCAGAAGGAGGAGGGATCGCTGCTGTGGCTAAACTCTAAGTCCATAGATGATCTGTTGGCCATAAACACCACCTGGTTTTGTTAAAGACGGTGTAGTACACTGAATCAGGAACAGACTACTCAGAAGTTCCTGTTGTAACTTTATATGGTTAAACACAGAATCAGTTAAGGTTTATTTCATATATTAACCCTTATTCAAGTGTACCAAGTGTTTGCTGTAAGGGGATTGTTCATATTATATTCAGGACAGTATAAGAATCACATGCACGTTTCTTCCTTATATTACCACAGAATGAAAACTTTGCATGTGGTCAGAATGTAGAAAGCCCATTTGGAAATTAACCATCGTTACTGCAATGACAAACAAACATGCTTCTCAGCATGTTACTGTGCTCCCTTAAGGCTGGACAGAAAAGGATGTCTGCTCAAAACCTCTTACAACTACACACAGAAGCTCATGCGACCAAATGACCCCCCAATACCTCCAGGTGCCTTTGGTTAATCTCGTAGATGATCTCCAGGTGCCGAGGCAGCAGATTGTGGAAGAGGTCGACAGGCCAGCGCTCCAGAGCTTCAGGGAGGACTGTGTGGTTGGTGTAGGCACAGGTACGAACTACAATGTCCCAGGCCTGCACACAGACAGGACAGAAGTGCTGGTGAGAAACATCCCATATTATATGTATACCGTACTTTTTACTTTAACAGTGTGAATATGATAATTCTATATGAGCAAGTTGTATTATATTATTGTATTGTATTATTTTAGTTCTATTTTGTTGTTGTGATTACAAGGCAAGCTTGGGTTTTTTTTTTAGAAGGCGCCCTATAAATTAAATGTATTACTATTGTCAGACAGAATCAATCAGCTACCAAAATGCACACTCCTCTCACTGCCTACTTTCCTCTTAGACCCTTGTTATTCTTTTGACTACTCACTCTCTCATGCCTGGTTTCTAGACGTAGCTTCCATCCTCAGCTATCGTCACAGAGTTTGGTATGTAGCAGTTCTGATAATACAATTAATTTCCTTTCAGGTAAGTACAAGCAGTGCAAGTATCCACCACACCTGCTTGATCTAATATCAACTAGTTAAACTTTGCCTGTTGTGTCAAATGATGCAGCGAGACAGAATAGCTATACAAGTTACCACAGAACAATCCAGCTAAAATGCGAACTGTCGAATGCAGCTCCCCTGATTCCACCACTGATTTCTAACGCTTTAAACAATCTTATGTTTAGTTTTAAGCATAGTGAGGTCTGTGTGCGACTGTACGGCTGGAGTGCCATATACCTTCTCCCAGGTGAGTTTCTCAATGTCCACCAGATTCCTCATCAGCTCAGGGATGGCCAAAGCAGGGTGAGTGTCATTCAGCTGGATGGCCACCTGCAGACCAGGTACCAGAGTCAGACTCGCAGACTACCAATATGGCAGACTACCATCCATGTTAACTAGTCATTGCAGTTTTCCCTCTGTATTTCTGCCTATGCCCACCTCAGATATTTAAGTACTAAATGATTCATCCTGGGAAGACTAATGAAAAGGGGAACATTTTGGACAAAATGTCATCAGAATCTGTTGGCACTCTCTCCAAAGAAAACAAAAACAAACAAAGAAGAGATCAGAAAAAGACGTGGCACAAAATGATGAAGAAATCAGAAAAAGACGTGGCACAAAATGATAAGGTATCTGTCATTAACATAGCATAATTTGATGCGATGCAGTGGGATGATGGTTCTCTTACCTTGTCTGGCAATGTGGAAAGGTCCATCCGCACAAACTCTGTGGAGCCAAACTTGGAGGCTTTGAATCGACGAAGGATGTCTTGAAGAGTTGCAGCTACAACAAAGTACTCCTGTTTGAGACGCAACTCCTTCCCTTCAAAGAACTGGAGACCAAAGACAATACAAAAAGTTTTTCATGTCACTAATCAAATAACATTTGACATTTTGAGCTTTAATTCTAAGACACAGCTGCTTTTTTTTTTGGTTACTTGGGGGCAGATGTACCCCACAACAAGCCAAAGACAAGCCTCACACATGCACTGCCAAATGCTTTTGGGATTAATCCTTTAATTTCTGAAACACATGCATGACTGTCAGATGAAGGACATTCTGTTAGCTTGTGCCACCTGCTGCTAGTTTCAAACACTTGTATGGCACAGCAACCCACTGTTAGGGTGATTTTCATTTTTAGATAGAAATGAATATAATTAGTTAGGGTTTTATTATATAGCATACATAAGTTTATACATTTTAATCTCATAGTTGAGTTTATGTTATGTAGTTACATATCACCCTATGTGTGCACTGAATCACTGGTTAGAATTTACTGTGTTAGCCAACTGGAGCACTGTTTAACCCTTGTGTTCTGTTAAGAATCTTAACATCAAGGAGACTGGTTTACTAAAACACTGACTCTCATCAGATTTACAGTCTAGCAAAGAGGGTCCACAATTACTTTATTACCACACCACTTGGCTGATGGAATGGGGGAGCTAGAGTTTATTGGGGTCTTAGGAGAGCAGGAACAGAGATTAGATCTAAAGCCAGGAAGAGGGACCAACTTCAAAAGACAGGGCAATATACACACACA